TCTTTTCTTCTTTCTTCCTTTCTTATTTCTTTCTCTTTACCTCTATCTCTTTCTCCGCCTGTCTCTGTGTGTCTAGCTTGCTTTCTTTCTCTTTCTTTCTTTTTCTCTTCCTTTCTTTCTCTGTCTGTCTGTCTCTCTCCTTCTTTCTTTCTCTTTCTCCCTATCTCTTTCTCTGTTTGTCTCGGTGCGCCTGTCTCTATCTCTGTCTCTCCCCTTCTTTCTTTCTTCTTTTCTTCTTCTCTTTCTCTCTTTCTTTCTCTCTCTCTCTTTCTTTCTTTCTTTTCTTTTTTCCTTCTCTTTCTCTCTAACTCCTTCTATGTCTGTCTCTCTCCCTCTCTTTCTGTCTCTCTGTCTCTCTTTTTTCGCCCGCTTTTCTTCCTTCATGGATGATTTGGCTTTGAGGTTAAAGAACTATTTAAAAGCAACTTTGTCGCACAGTTCATTACCAGGCAGGCTGAATATGTCTACTTATGAAACTCCTTGCAAGATTGCAAACCCAGAACTGTTTGCTAAAATGTCAGAGACACGCGCGGGTATCTTATGCGGTTTGGCATTGCCTGAAAAGTCTTGGTCGCTTCACTTCTCTGTTTTTACTCTATCGGCACTCGCATGCCCTGTCCGGGGTCGAAGGGTTGATCTTGACACTGGGTGTTGTGTCTGCACGTGTACAGTATAGGCGGCACCTCGAACCAGCGCAAGATCGGTATGTCGACTGGCCACAATACAGACGCCCGTTCATTCTGAACATCACGTACTGGTTACTCCGGTACTGGAATTTTGTACCCTGCGAGTATGGATCATGCAATTATACATTTCATTAAGGTTGACGTGTTACTTGAAGGACTCTCCAAAGGCAAATGGATGCTTATCAAAGGGAGTCTGCTCGGATACAGGAGGTGAGGGGTTAACTTATGGTGGTTGTGAAGGAGGGACGCTGTAGACAATGAGTTTTTGAAATACATGTACATGTACATCAATCAGATCGGTAGGGAAATTGAAGCAAAACTACAGAGAAATGTTTTACCCTCTATAGTGCAAATAGTGCCTAAGCGTGGCAGCAACGAACAGGGACGATGCTGATTTGCTGACGGGTGCGTGAGAAAAGAGTCAAATGCCCCTGGGTCACGGTGGTGAGCTAGCTAAGTTAGTTCTCCGACTCTCTGCTGCTAGTGTTACAATGTAATTGAGGTACATGTACATGTATCGTAATGAGTGTACAATAGTCACATGTAGGTTTTATGGTGGTGATAGTGCTCCTTGTCCAGCCTAGCATACAATCATGTACATTTCACATGCACGTGTACATGTACATACATGTATGATGTAGACGATTGTAGATACATGTACAATGTAGTGGTGAACACAGCATGCGGCGTTGCCCCGTGACACACTGCAGTGCTACTCAACAACTCGGTCTATTTGATCCGGCATAGATATACTGGTGTGCTGCTTTGTTGTCCAATTACAATGAAACCTAATTGTCCAAGAGCTGCAATGATTGTTCTGTGAGACTGCTGGAAAAGGACACTGCGATGCGCCAAGTGTCACGGGGACAGGATAGCAGCTAGCTTCACTCCCAAGCTCCTCTTGGCCTTCATTGGCATGTTGAAGAGGGCGGGAAAGAAGCTCCTACAACGGGTCGGTTAGTCCTGCAGTGAGCCTCTAGAGTCCTTCTTCAAACCATGTCTACCGGCTGAAGAGAATCGGAGATGTGCCGACTGTCATGCCTGCTCCACGGAAGTGTTCCAGTTAGGTTTTTCATGTCGCACTTCTTGTTCTCAGTCCACTATTAGCGATGACGGTAACACATTGTCTCGTGTGCAGTGCCATGCATACCAGGACGTGATTATTTGGACTAGTATGTATTAGCGTAATGACCACTGGACATGACGAGCGTCTTCGAGACAGAAACAATGGCGTGGATGAGGGTATCTGCAGAGCTTGAAATCATACCGCAGAACATCAGCACGTACACCAACACCAACACCTAGCTAATTTGGCGAAGTGTGACACCGACCACTACAGGCCGGATTTACAGGTCAAATTGCATAATAAATGAGCGATGAGGTCATGTAACGCAGTTAATGTCGTGATGAGGAGAGGGTTAGAGCCAGAAAAATGTCCACCCACAATCACCATGACTTGCCCGGCGAACGCGGATCCACATCTGTACTTGTCGTGCCGGTATGTACGATGTACAGGACATACAGGTAATACATACATGACATTAATTTTTAGCTTTGCTAGCAGAGAATTCATTCTAGTAGTGGGTCGAGATGCTTACCAATTTCGTCAGTGATCACATCAATGACCGTGCAGTTTTCCACGTAAATGCCACCTCACAAATGTCTGCAATCTCATACATGTACATGTACATGTCATGTACATGTACATGTACGGTGTACTATCACTATTATGGTTGTGATAATGACTCAGCACATCGGGACCTTGCTGTATTTCCAGTAGGTTGCACTAGAGAACGCGAAATGTTGCTGGAGGTCCGATGTTTCTCATTCCAAACTTGAAAGTATTGCAATGTTCTATGTCCATGACTTTCCCATGACCCGCCCCAGATTCATCCGCATGCCAAGCAAGTAAGCGAGTAGTCAGTGCCAGCTCTGGAGGCTCAACTGTTCCGTTCAATGCCGTGGGCCGGTGTCGGCTCATGCGTGGGACCGTCACTCTGCAATACGTGTACATACGTGTACCGGTAATAGGAATGTCATTGTACGTCTCCTAATGCGGTCTGGAGTGCACAGTTGACATGGATCGAGTTGTGAACTTTCACTAACGTCACACTGAGCTGCCATGGGGACCATCGCCGTATTTTCCGCCTGTCACACTGAGGAAATTCAGGTTCGGATACATCGAGGTCAAAAGCCTTAGAGTTGAGTTGTTACACTACCACAATATCATCTTGATCGCGTCACTAAATTGATCCAAATTTCATGATGTGCACAGTGCTTACAAGTGGATTGAACCCCTGCTACCTCGGTGAACTTTGAGTGAAAGTTCACAACTCAGCAGTCATATCCCGGCGACCATTCTGGTGGTTTTCGGCCACTGCATACCCGCGTACTTGCAGTTGCTATTTTGTTCTACTTGGAGGGCATCTTGCAGGTGTGATGTTATGTGGTGTAATCGGCTATTGTGTGTTGAGTACTTACTCTGCTCTGAACATACCCCTCGTCTCAGATAGAGGCCCGGGGTGGATAGATCTACAAGTAACGTGATATCTATAAGTAACGTGATATCTATAAGTAACGTGATATCTGTAAGTTGAAGCAGGACGGATATCCGTAACTGAATTACCGACATGGCTATGGCTACCACGGACGGTGACAGACATGCATGATTATGCTGATGTAATAACGTCCGTACACGCGCCTGACCCTTTCACAGCATGCGGTATGTTGATTGTAAAACACAACTATTCTTTAAACGTGTTACTTTGAACATGATTGTATTTCATGAGTTACGTGACGAAATGATCAGTGGCTAGAGCGAGCTACATGATGGTATGCATGGTTTTGGTTAGTCAGTGCAAATGTAAATTCAGTGTGCACCGAGCACTAGAAAACTGCGCGTGGTGCTATTGAGAACCAAGGCAGGCTGTCTAGTTTTCACAAACGAACATCTGGTGGAATGGCGAGAACATTCCAAGCCTCTCAACTGCCATCAAAAACACATACGCGTCACGTGACGGAAATAGAGGTTAATTAAGTGCAGTATTCAATATTCTCGGCGGCAAGCCATGTAATGATCCTGATAGCCATGTGCGTGTACAGTGTTACTGTACATGCAGCACTACGGATAACAAAATCATTGAACAACAGGATTGTGATTCACATGGAACATTACAACACACACGTACACGTCGGGAGGACCAGAACACATTCGACATTTCCGCTGCCACACTCAATTCCTCAGATGCATACATACAACTACATGTGCATGTACATTGTAGTCCTCGACTCCGGCAAATGTATCAATCTATTTTCACGCGCCACGTTATTAGTATTACCGCCAATACCGGTATGTAAGCGTCCAGTCGGCTGTGTCAGATTCGTGTTGTTACCCGGACTACAAGCATTACAAAAAATTCTAGGGTAGACTAAGAGACCAGGGAACGCTAAGACAGTAAGAGTAAGACCGTCTGCTAAGGTCGTTTCCTTTTCCCAGCTCTGGTAACCATGGTTAACTATGGCGTGTGGGGGGGGGGGGGGTCTTCTGACGCCAAGGCAGTGCTCCCCACCTAGGACCCCAGAAAGGGCATTGGACATACACTGTAGGAGGTAACTGGTTATGTCTATGAGTATGAGTGAATGTTTCCACTGTCTCCAGCCACCGTTCCCACCTTGATCAGGTTTGGCGCATATGCAGGGCCAGCTCGGGCACATACAGATGCAGGGCCAGCTCGGGCACAGGCACAATATGGCCACAGTACAGAAGTAAGCGCGCAAACTCATGAACCCTCGCAGGGTTATTTTCGCAGTCGATGAGCTCAGGCCAGTGGCGCAGTGCTCGCGTCCCTCAGTGGAGAATAACTTACTGACGTTGTAACGGTGACCGGTTACTGTGTGTGCTGGCGTTAGTTAGTATTCTTATGTACACGGTCACCTGCAGCATGCAGGGTGTGGCCTGTAGCCGCTTAGCACATAGTCCTCGCACATCCCAACACATTCATGCGAGTCCCTTGATATCATTTTTATACAATATGAGCCATTTGCGTAATTGCCATTATGCAGTTTATCAGCACGGTATGAATGTCCACCCACCCCTATCCTTTCTAAAAATAGCCTCGTACGGGACAAAGGGTTAATTCTACTGGGTAAGCACAGACAAGTCGTAACATCACGCAAGAGTGCCCCCCCCCCCCCCCCATCACTCCCATACCTATTTTAGTTCAATGGTATTGTACCACCAACAGGGTTATGACGTATGTGACAGGTTCACCAGAGCACGAGATACAGTGCACATTGTGACAATACCACACAGAGTTTAGCATTGGCTGATACCACGTAGTCCAGGAAGCATACTCAATAATTATTTTGATTCAAAAGCAGTCATACTGACTATGGGATGTGCATGGCTGTGGCCTCAGTTATAGCTGATATTATTAATTAGTGCTGTGGACAGTTCTTGTAGCAGAATGCAGGAAAGCCAGAAGTACTACACATTGTGTGTTTGACCATTCTCCACAAAGAAAGCGATACAGATTGGCAAATGGGGGAAGGGGGAGAGAGAAAGAAAGAGAGAGAGAGAGAGAGAGAGAGAGAGAGAGAGAGAGAGAGAGATAGAGAGAGAGAGAGAGAGAGAGAGAGAGAGAGAGAGAGATAACGAGGGCAAGAGAGGGGGGGGGGGGGGGGGGGGGCGCTACATCATTGTTACACTACACTAACTTATAATGCAGACGAGTAATGTTGCACGAAGTAACATGTTCAGCAAACTGGTGCAGAGCACGTGCATACATACACAACACGATAATACTGACAAGACCATTGCATGTTATACTGGGTTGAATTGCCAGTGCTGATAATCTTGGGTAACATAAATAGCGATACGAGGCTCAACATTTCTCTCAAGTTCGTAGGTTAGGTAGGCAGTGTGCAGTGGCAGGGGAGAAAGAAGTGGTGGGGGGAGGAGCGGGTTTCCGCAACAACGGTGACAAAGAATGGCTAGAAGTCCAGGCCACCAGAAGAGGCATGCCCAGTCACTGGTTGCCATGCTTGGCCTCGCAAGCTGGTAGCTCTATCCTCTGGCCCTATTGAGCCGAGCCAAGATGAATGGTCCCGGCAGCTTGTGCATGTTCATAATTCGCTGGTGGGAAAGCGACGAAGCAGGGTGACAGAAGACAGTTAGTGATACTGGACTGGATGTGTGGGTCTCCTAGCAGAATGTCACTGTACTCTGCAATAGATCTGCTGCTGGATTCTCTTCAAGGCCGGAAAATACCCATATTGCGCTCTCAAATTGTCTTAGTAATGCCAAATGCAAACGTCCAGCGGGGATGCCGCAAGAGCTTACGCACAGACCGTCAGGACAGTCGATTGCATGCCCAACTGGTTCAGGGTGATACTGGTGTAGTATTGTGTTGCCGTGTTTGGCAATGGCTGGCATCCTGTGCACTCATCACCAGGAACATGCCATCCATGCTCGTCATAGTTTGTACTTAGAGCTAGGATAGTGCTGGATAGTGGCCAGGTGGGAGTGGATAAATCTGGAGTTTTAAGAAGATCTCAAGCTTGACTGCACAGCGGCAGTGGTGGTATAGTGGCTGCATCAGCTGCATTTACACGTCTGTACTGTCATCATATTTAACGTCTCCACGCGGGCATCCTTTGCGTTAGAACCGGTCGTGAAGAGCAGGATTACGCTTCCCAGGCGATCGGCCACACAGCAGGGTTTCGCCGACGCGTGCGGGTTCAGATTGTTGTACATTGAGATGACAGATGAGTACGCAGAGCCGGATGACCATCGGTACGGACAAGCCCCGGAGCAGTGGTTCGGCCGGAACTTCTCTGGTTCTCGCACCCAGTCCCAGCCGAGGTCCCGTCTGAAGTTTAGCTCGAGGTCTTTGACGCAGCAGTTCTCTGGATTGCGTCCACGAATCTTACGGCAATACTCGCCGTCCAGGGTTTGCCGCTTGGACCTGCGACGGAGGCGTCTCGAGTCCGGTGCGGATGTGTGAGACATAGTGTGAATGTATGCATCGGCCAACTGGCGCTGGAGAGTGCCATTCTCCACCGGAAGAAATGGCATGATGCCATTGATGAACCGTTCGATCGCACTGTCCTCCTCACGATGTATAGAGTGAATGTGCAGCTCAAGACGGCACGTATTGTTTGGACACGGCTCTGCCAACCACTGGCGAACCACTCGCTTCACATCAAACACGACGTCATCTCGCGTGGCGAGGTCAATGTCAACACCGTCGACGAACATGCGTCGCGTCCCCTTGGGGCCGGCTACGACCTGGAGTAGCTCGATGCGAACGTGATGCGGTCCCGTCGCCGCATCCTTGTCCTGGCTATGGCTGGGTACAAAGGCGAAGTTCAGCTCGCCTTGGTAGATGTCTGAGAGGTTTCCACCCAGCTCGGCCTTTATTCTCCTATGATCAGCCAGGATAGCAACGTAGCTGTGCTCAGCATGCACTGTGGGGAAAAAACAGAAACAAAAGATCGCAACACAAGAAACGCGCAGTGTTAGTGGAAAGTATGGTGCTCCCTGTGGCAATCAGTTCACGCAAATTACGTATTACCCAACAAGGCTGACTGATGCGAACACATGTTTAGTGTATACAGCCACACCAGTTTTAAATTCATTTCGTAAACTGAGGTTTTCGCCAGGAACAAGTATGATAATTATTATATTGATATATTGCCGGACTACAACAATATTGGTAGTAACTCGTCTTTCCTCCTGTCGGCATTCAGATATACCCTTCCTTTCGATGGAAACAGTGTCCCTGATAGTGGAACATGACCATTGCAAATATGTTTGCCATATCTGCAGCTGAGTTCCTTCCATTATGAAGTCATGCACTACGTTCCCTAGTAGAATACCCCCCCCCCCCCCCCCCCCCGTTGCATACTTTGTATTCACATCGACTATAATTAACCTATGTAGTAAGGAGTCATCTTTCCATGCCATAATAGTATAATCCAGAAATTCAAGCACCCATGCCAAAGGAAATATGTACAGTATGCCTTTCTTTTAGCTAGACCAGAGTACATTACTGGATGTTCTAGTTCTTGATACAGTGTCAGACACATACAGTGCATGTGTGTGGAAACTGGTAGTAACCCCACTGCGTATCAAGAACACTTTATTGAAGTGATAGGTAAACAATGATAAAGATAGTCATTGGAACATAGTTCCCTTGTTAACAAAGAGACCGACAGTCAGGAGTCTTTGCCAGCACTAGGCTCCACCTGCCCACAATTCACAACCTATCATATTATGTGTCCAACACTGAGGCAACACTGGCCGAAGTTGCCAGGTGACCAGTGGACAAGGTGCTGCTGCCTTTGCAATCTAATTCTCTGTGCTGAGTTCAGGAAAATGGCAATGGGCTGGAATTACATGACCCCAGCTAATCCCTTCAGGCACGATGTGTGGCAACAAACACATTGTTCTCTGAGCCCACACACTAGCTGCTCAGAGTAGCTGTCTAAGACAGACTCACTACAGTACAGTGGTCTGGCATGGAATCTGGAAAACTGCCCCACTAACTGCTCCATATCACTTGTGCCAGGAATCGTGAAGCTTTGAAAGTGCACAATGCTTCTGGAGTTGAACTGCTTTGTGCACAAAGGGCCACTTCAGTGGGCAAATGCCTTTGGACATCCTGACCTTAGACTCAAGACTTGAGTCCTCTGTTTCTTAGGCAATCTCTGATTGCTGGGACTGCTTGTACAAGTACATGCAGAATATTCGTCTTGAGGAATGTGGGATGGCACGGTGCAGGGTCTTGCCTCTATTGTAATGGATCAGTAGCCGGATGAACAGGAGTACATATCTCTTGGTGCGGATCATATTCATAGGCCATCACAAAATACCCCAAGCCCTCTGGACCCCTGTGATGGTTGGCCCGGACAATGCACTGTGCATGTATTCTGGATACACACTGACCACTTGTAATAGTCCACACTAATGATTAGCAAGCTGATCTGTTACTGGTTTGTGGTGTACCTGCCACACGTCTACGTCAAATGTAGCTAGTGTCTGAATAATGACACCCAGTTTGCAAAGTAATGTAAAGTAGCTGATTTGCACAAAGTGTTCAACCACCATCTCTCTGCATGGGTCTTGCTTAGGAAAGCGATTCATTTGCAGGGAACCGTAAAGGATCCTTCATTCACCATTAGCTTGCAGTCGCCGAAAGCCTGTCCGGTATACCTCTCCATCTTGGAGGTGGCGGCATTCCTTTCTCGTAAGAGTGCAACTGGTTGTCATCCCAGCCGAGCTGGAGGTCCTGGCAGCTGTGTACTACTGTTCATGTGTATCTATGCGTGACATTGTATGTAGCATGTCTGATTGCTCCATGTGATCACTGTCTGATCTCACACAACAACAAAATAAAGAAAAAGGAGAGAAATAATTGACCCAATATCAAACCGTTTCAGCTCGCCATACATCACACAGGTGGGGTAGCCAGGGTGACAAGAGCATGAGTCTCTTCCATCAATCTCCTCAGCTCCAGCATGTGCTTCCAAGCTTTTGTATGGTGAATTTCACCATAATGATTTGGGACATACAGGCTGAAGGGGTTCTGGAATGCACCAATTTTCCTCCACAAGAGGTCAATTTGTAGCAGGTTCTTGAACATGGGCTTTGAGAGGAGCTCAGACTGATCCTAAGACACATGATACGAGCTGAATTTCGAGGCTACTCAAGAATGGATTTTGTATGAGCCTGGCAGCAGAGTTTCTTCAACTTGGCAACCCTTTGCAGGAAGGAAGTTCTTCAAGTATTGTGCGTGCAGGTAGAAAACTAGACTTTCTGAAACGTAGAGAATTCAAGTCCTTTTCCAGCTCTTCATTTCCACCAACTTCTATCCCAGACCATAGTGAATGCTGTGCTGATACAAAATTCCACACTATGATCACGTTCCATGTACAGTAGGTGTTGTTGCTTGCATTTCAAAGTCGTTTTCTGTTGGTTATGGTAACAAATTCAAGTCTAGCTCAGGGACATGCCTAATGAAGAGGGCACTCCACTGGAGATTTCTATTGCGCCCTCACCACTACTTAGCTGACACCTTCAGACTAACCATACTTCTCTTTTCTAGTGGATGACCAGCTCAACAACAGGGCTCAACAACCAGTACAACTTACAAGTGAGGTGCTCAGTCCATGCGCATAACATGCATAACATCGCAGACTAAAGCCTACTCTTCCACGCAGTACATGCAGTCCGTTCCCTTGCAAGTAACTTGTCCTGCATTTTTATTGTCACTATCTAGTTGGTCTGCGTATTGGGGTGTTTTCCTGATCTAGATCTCCCTCTACTCTAGTCTAGAGTGCGATCTGTAGCAGAAATGACCGCTTAGGAGTCGCACCCTGGCTGCACCAGACCGCCAACAACTGACTGCTTTAGCCTTTAGGATAGGGTTCTCACGCCAGCGCGTGCAACGAGGCCAGCGCTCTGACCACGAAATGAAGGCAACCCAACAAGTAGCCCTAGACACACGCCCTGAGGGCACTGGGACATGATGAAGGCAAACTGCCCTCACTCTGCACAACCATGTAGAGTAATTCTGAGTGCTGGGGCATATGCCTGCCAACGAAACCACGGATCAAGTGTGCTTTGCGCGTGTTGCCATGAAATATACCTGCCTACTCTCTATTGTCAACAAACAAGATTTATTTTCTGAAGTATTAGCATGCCTCGCCGACGGAATTGAAATCCAAAAAACTTGTCTGAAAGCATTGACGCGTGAACAACATTCCACATCTGCAGGTATTCTCATACTATTTTTGTCCTTACCAATTTCTCCACGAATTTCCAGTACTTTGTTGGTCTTGCTGTAATAATGGTCGTGGTTTGCATCTTGGCTTTCATCCTCCCAGTCCAAGGCTGACCTCCGCTTGCGCCGATTCACACTCTTCACAGCTGCATGGTATGTACGCAGAATACTTGTTTCCAGAGCCGGGTGATCGTCGCTGAAATTGGCCTGTGGCAGTTCGGTTATTCCCAGCTTGGACAAGATCTGCACTTCTATTGCCTCGGTTCGCCTTGCAATAGCCGTGGCCTCGTCCAGGTGACACGACGAGGAGGACCGAACTCCGGGCGGCATCAGGGCGCATCCTAGCGCAAGTACGACACACACTACGCCTTTTGCCGACATTAGGAGGCAATTGCCAGACATGATTCTTTAGATGTTGGCAGCCACTGGATGAGCGATTGAATGAGAGGCTGTTCCTGTACGCTCCCTCTCTCGCCTACAACTTACAGAAAATGATGTCTCGGGCGAGTGATGGGTTCAACATATAACACATCGACTGTGTGGTGAATGCTGCTCGACAGGTGAGAGGCCCAGGTAACTGCGAGACTCGCTACAGCTCAACATCAACGCACGTAAAGTTAGGTGGCGGCCTCTCGATTCACAGCACACACTTTCAGTCCGATTGAGACTGATAGCTGTCCTGAAAACCGGCGAAATCTATGGGACAATGCACGCAAGTGGATACTTGGAGGCTGAGAGCGGGTGTTCAAAGCTACTTGTCACTTGCTAGTGACTGAAGAAGCAGTGAAGCCAGTATGCCAGTAGAAGTCGGCAGTTCCAGCAGTGCTAGTGGCGATTGTTCTAGTAGCGGACTACTGATGTATACTGGCTTATTACACTGCAGGCCCCGGTGGTGGTGGTGATAGCGATATGCCAGCTCTGCTGGAAACATTGGCGGCAGTGGTCACCGGCCCGAAGCCTTTCCAGGCTAGTCCTCAAAGGAGTAGCGCAGTATCAGCATGCGCACCCGGAGGAGTGCTTCGTGGCTGCGTCTCTATTCTCGCTAGCCACGGTCATGTCTGTGGATGCAGGGTTGGTGAGCGCAGGTGTTGATACCTGCGGATAGGTGCTTCTCCGACTGACGATATCTGCGAATCTACTAGTATTATACGGCAGTGCGAAACACTCTAGCTTTGCTGGCAGGCAGCACAGGCTTACAGTTGTAGGGTTGTCGCTTATCATGCCATATTCAGAACTGATGCAGTACGTATACGTAACGGTCGTTCTTGGCCGGCCTGGAGCTAGCTAGCTCCAGCGGATTTTTATGGATTTTTATGTACATGTAGGTTTGCAGCGTACGGAAAACCGTAGTTATCGCGGACAACCGGCAAAAACAACAAACATGCAACCCAATTCTATGGTGCTATGATGTGTGTGTGTGTGTGTGTGTCTCGGGGGGAGGGGCGATAAATCAACAAAAAATGCAACCCCAAACTAGTATTGCGCCTTGATGTGTATGTGACTCGGGGGACGTCGACGGGCGAGCGATACTGCATGACCCTGTACAAAGAGTGCTGGTCAGGCTTGTACTTTGTAGAATCTTCGCTGTGTCCCTGTTGGGTGCAGGGTAGAGTCAGCAGCTATTCGTGGACTGGATAGGCAGAAGTAGGCATACAATACATGGGACCTTGCACTTGTTGCAGAGTGGGGCTGCGTGTGTCTAGGGCCGTGTGAAAGCCAATGGCAATGAAGCCATCAGGGCTGCGTCGCGCAGCCGCAGGGTCCGTGAGTTGATCCCGGGATCGGGAGCTCTGCGACGGCTACAGCCAAACTCACGTACCGGTACCTACATTGCAGTGCAGTGTTGAGGCCGTGACCCGTGAGTACTCCACCATCACCTGAAATATTAATTGTCACCCTGATGTAGGCGGACCTGTCCGAGTTTTCGGTCGCCGACCAGTGGCAAAGAGAACACAAATCATACACCATTGCACGGTGCATACATGTACATGTATCCTGATGTAGTCCTAGGCACTGTAGACTAGGATCACAATACGTGTACATCAGCAGCAATGGCAGTCGGCAGGCAGGCGGTTACCAATACAAGACACCTTCTGCTTGGGCCAGTTCAGGACAGCACTAGCGGCCAGTTCAGGACAGCACTAGCGGCCAGTTCAGGACAGCACTAGCGGCCAGTTCAGGACAGCACTAGCGAACATCTTACGTTCATCTACCAGCTCAGGTGCAAACTGGTGACCCGTACAATCCCCGCTCCATGGCTGTTTCCTTGGCAGGCAGCACAACGTAACGTAGATGTTTTCTCTGGGCCATGGGGGAATCTGTGCTGCTGAGCTGGTAGGGATGATGTCAGACATAATGATTGCGTCTGCAGTCTAAGCAGTTTTCATTGAGATGACATTGATTGAAAGCCTGCTTGACCACACAACTGCCAAGACAAGGCAGAAGTTGATAACTGTTCGATTTAGAGACTCGCTCCCAAGCATCCCACCAGGTGATACATGCACGCAGGTAGCGATATGACGCAATGCACTGTAATACAATCAGTCCATGTTAGCAGTCCATGTTAATGTACTACGGTAAGCGAAGATGGCCGAAAACAGTATCATTTCTCTCTCTCTCTCTCTCTCTCTCTCTCTCTCTCTCTCTCTCTCTCTCTCTCTCTCTCTCTCTCTCTCTCTCTCTCTCTCTCTCTCTCTCTCTCTCTCTCTTTCTCTCTCTCTCTCTCTCTCTCTCTCTCTCTCTCTCTCTCTCTCTCTCTCTCTCTCTCTCTCTCTCTCTCTCTCTCTCTCTCTCTCTCTCTCTCTCTCTCTCTCTCTCTCTCTCTCTCTCTCTCTCTCTCTCTCTCTCTCTCTCTCTCTCTCTCTCTCTCTCTCTCTCTCTCTCTCTCTCTCTCTCTCGCTCCGTCTGCCCACTGGCACAACCACGTTGTGAAGCCCCAACTTTTTAAGTTGTCCCTGCTCTCTCCTGCTGCTCTACCTTCATGATTCATCACGGGGGTTTTGTTTGACGTAAAACTAAAAGTCCCTATAAATATACGTAGTCATTGTTCGTTGCCGCGAGTCGCTACATGAATTAAATACTTAAAAAAAGTATTTTTTACAATAATCACATCACAGCTCGCAGGCAAAGACAAACCAATTACATAATGCGAGCATAGTCATGGTGAGGCGTTTTACTCCTGTATACCAGCGAGGAATACACTATAGGTATTATCAAGAGTATATAACCGTTATAATTATACTCTATAGATATTATCAAAGAATCGAGATCCAAACCATTATCAGCACTGGACCATACAGTATTGCGTAGGGATGAACGCAGGTGTTTGATCTAAGAAAGAAAGAGCACTGAGTCTGTCAATGGTGCACCTACATGTACATGTACATAGACATCATGTACATTGTACGTGCCGCCGGCAATATGTCTATAGTATTTTATGCTGTCCTGAAGCTGCATGCATGCAGAATGAGTCCAACGCCTAACGACGTAATAGTGATTAATTCTCACCAAGCGTTAGCATTAGGAGCCATTCATACTAGTCTACAGTACAATGACCATCGGACCATTTCGTAATGGTCACTTTTGTCTGGCCTATTCAAGCATTCATCCATCCTATCCCTGTACATACTGCACTCGTAGCTTGTGGATCATGGGTGATGAATAATTTCTCTCTGGACAACAACCACAGTGGCCTCTGCGAGCGACCTGGAGTGGAGGTGGGGCAAGTTGCCCGGATTGCAATGTGCATGATCATGAGGCGAAAAACCTCTTTCACAGTGACGCTTACATCCGAGGAGGAAGGTTGATAGCATGCCCAGGCAGTGACAGCACCAACCAGATTCCAATGATCGGTGCGCGCAAGACTAAACACAATGATTATGACCACCCACAGTCGCAAGGAAGAGTCTGTAGCCATAGTGAGTGTGTAAGCTCCCACGCTCACTTCTTTGGACCACACAGGCTAGTGAAATCGGGCTAGCTGTTCTGCGATCGACATGACACGTACATGTACGTCCGCGGTGCTTCACTGGATTACAATACATGTCCTACATGTCGATGATTACCGAACACAGTCAGCAGTACAGGCAGTGCCGTTGTACACTGATATCATGATGCTCAGCAAACGACGTTACGTCATCAGCATGCAACGTTGTTCTGGTAGACTACCACATACTGTCATGTGCATGAACGTGACCACTGGGTACAGGTATCACAGCAGAAGGGCTTGAACAATAATTATTATAACGCATATTTCGCGCGCAAGACGTCGGGAAAATCGTGCAAACTACGCACCAAAAGCGGATCGCCATATTCTGCCCGTACCCTCGTTGCCTTGTGTCCCAGACGGATGTTCAGAGCTCGCCCATACTGGACACCTAACGAAAGACATGTCATCGCTGGTGTAATGTTGACAGTTACATATGGCCTGTCAACCTGTCAAGCTGGACTCGCGTGGCGTCGGCCAGTGACATTCTCGATCTGGCAGGGCAGTCGACAGTACAGTATGTCCCACAGGGGGAATCGACTATGTATGGGTTCCTCTGCAAGTGGAAAGTGCAGTGATATGTGGAGAGTAGGACAACAACTGACGTGTGCCCTCCAGCGGACTATCTTCGAAGAGGACCTGGTAAAGACGACCCCAGATGGCCACACTCGAGTCGAGAGGCGGGTTTTGGCCAACCAGGCCTCCTTCAGCGCCAAAGCGGTCATACCCATCAACAGGCCCTAGTCCGCAGGAATATTCTTGTGGAAGACGTTAGAATTGGGATTGCGACTGGGGGAGGAACAAATGCGGGATATGATCCTTCGGCAACAGTCCTGTCCAGCCTCCGGCATTAGCCCTATCAGTCCGTGCCAATATGACGACATTGGACACGTGATGGAAAGCGTGAACGAACATGGCAGATCTTTCGCGTGGACATACACGGTACTACACTGACGTTTCCAGTGCCTGACATTAATTGTCTCCGATCAATTGGACACCGACTCGGGTTCGTTTGGCTGCCGCGTGTGCGGACTTGATGGATGGAGTACTGTAAAAGATGCATGGTACAAAACGAGCGCAATGGGTATGAAAATGACGTTATCAATACAATCTTTACAGCGACAGCACAGCCCAGCACCTGTCAGAGCACCCCCTCTGATCACGTGGTACCTACATGTACATTGTACATGTATTGTATATCACTAGAGATCATACGGCAATCATTCACAAAACTGGATCTTCGTGACCCGTATCGTCACTACTAGTACTACTGCTATAGCGCTAGTAGTACATGTACTGGTGGGTTTTATTAGCAACCATATGACTTATGAGTATGACACTATCCGCATGACCTCCCGCCTCACTTGTCCTTGGGCTACCCTGGTTTTGCGGCTCTACCAAAGACACCTTCGCAACCACCAAGATCATTCATGAATCATGGTATACAAACCGTATGCACGGTATGGTTTCAATGGCGCATGTTTTTTTTTTAAAGGTGTTGCGTCACAGCCCTGTGTGTGTAGCAGTGCAGTCACCAGTGTTGGTTATATTACTACACTCAGCCTAGTACAGTACTTGTACTGTTGTAGGCAGTCGGCAGTCGGCAATGCATACATGTACAGTACACTGTCTTGATGACTCTACCGTCTACGACTACGTGTAAGCCACGTCCTATTATTATTAGTAATTTATAGAAAAGAAAAAGGACCAAGGAACTACAAGTTACGCTATTATTAACGTCTACTAACACCACCAGTTTCTAAACAGTCAGCTCATGCGATAACATTGCACGACACTGACTGACGGTACTGACGTTCTACAACTACCGGTAACTGGCTATCAGCTCTAGCACATCTTGGATGCGCACTCCAACAACCTTCCAACTAACTTGGAAAGTTCTAAAATTTAATAATTATTATGATAACATAGGAGGGGAAGGTGAGCGCAACCAACACAAGCACGAGCCGAAAGTCTCAGCTGTGAAGGACGTTGGCGGATGTACATGCATGTCAATGGCGATACTGGCAAAACCATTGGACAATACGGTCAAACCACGATTCAAGGACGCAAAGCAACTTTCCACACAACTTGTGTGGCTCAAAGATGCGAAGATCAATTAAAGGGGGAGCTATTCGAACAAGAATCATGCAAAACCTTCCACTCACCTTCCCCCTCCTATGTTAACTTTTCATCTATCTTAGAACCTTCCAAGTTGAAAGGTTGTTGGAATGCGCACCCAAGACGTGCTAGAGCTGATAGCCAGTTAGTTGTATAAC